GGCCAGTCGATCTCTGAACGGTTGTTCAATAGACAGTGGAAGTGTTTCCGCCAGATCTGCGTTATGTTTGCAGTCCGTGAGCAGGCAGCGCTTAAACTACTATCGATCAGCGTTCACAGCTGCTCCAATCTAGGTACATACACCGTCTTCAAGGAGTCAAAAATTCCCTGTGTTGGCGGCGTTCGGCGTAGCATTCCATCTGCTTCACCTTCTCCGTCCACCATGCATTTTTAATGCGATGGAGCTCTCGGGTCAGACACCGTCGAAGTTTCCGAAACTGACTATTCTTCCACAAGTCACTGGGGCCTGCCACATGTGCAGCAAATGTTGCATTCTTCTTCGACACTCATGCGCCAATCGTCGCATTGTTTTCATCAAACCAATCAGGCCGCTTACAGTTTGCGCGCCCGATTGTCTCCTCGGCAGCAGCTGTCACCTGGTCGCGAATGTGGTGCCACAGGTCGCCCACTGTGGCTATGCAGTCCACATCACACATGCATGCAGCATCGCCTTCTCCAGTTCAGTAGCTTTAGCCCAAGTCCCGAGGGCAATATGTCAAATTTGTGCTGATTTTCTACGGGAGTGCAATGCATAGATTTACGAAAATATATATGCAGTTTGCTCTAGACCAATTTGTGATCAGTACCACACTCAGCTCCACGCAGTACACGTGTCATGCGCACTTCACGCATATCACGCTGACGTACGATGACAGAGTCGAGCAGGTGAGCGTGACCACTCCGTTTGTGCGTCCAAGTTGCTATATCACTCGCACTCAGTGCAAACCAAGTGTTCGTGAACGTCAGGCCCTGAGTGGCACACAGTGAGAGCAGTCTGTCCCCGTTCGCATTCGCTGAACCAATGCCATGCGGACCGATAACATCTGTCCACACTGATGCCTCACGTGCAACGCGCGCGTTGAAATCACTCAGCAGAAATAGTCGTTCGCTCCTCGTCACAGACCGTATGACGGGGGATAGCTGAGTGTAGAATTGATCACGCGTGTCATCAGGATGACACATGGTCGGACCGTACGTGCTGATAAAAGTGTCAAACTTACCACTTCCGAGTTGTAGGCGAACAGTCATCAGTCACGCGCTGATAGCTGTTGGTTCACCCACGAGCTGGCCATGGAGACGATCGGACATTGCAAATCCGACCCCATGATCACGTGGTGCTGAGGCGGCGTTGCCCACCCAGTAGAATGTGTAGCCAACACCTGCTTCTTGCAACTTACCTTGCTCAGCGAGCCGGGTTACACTGAGCGCCGCAATATCGATGTGGTAGCGCGCCATTTCCATCGCGACCAGTGCGGTTCGTCGCTCGCTGGATTTCCGGTCCAATAGTGTGCGCATGTTTCAGTACCCGATGCTGAGTGCTTCGCGCGCAGGCATACGATTGCATTGGTGGGCACTCGCGCGCGAGGTGGTTGTTGCGCTTCGGAGGCTTGCTTGAGTGACTCCGCCCGGTGCCTTTGACTCAATAGCCTGATCCACAAGACAGTGGGTGCAGATCCAGCTCGGGAATGTGATTGCAGAGACAGATTGGGATGTGCTTGACGGCCGTCACACGCATCCTTTGAGGTACTGGAACGATTTAGATATGTTTTGCGACCGTAGTAGGATTCACATGCGACCACGGCCAGACGCAGATGGGTTTTGGCTGGTTTGCACCAATTTGACCAGGGGCTGGCTGGCTGACTTGAGGCGGTCAGTAGCAAACCATTGAACACCAGGAGGTGCCCTCCCACCGTCAGAGACAATGCGTGGTGCTTGTGCTCTACACCAATCGAGCTGTGAGCTTATAACCCGTAGACCTGTTGTCTACCGTGGTTAGGTTTTAGGGGAAGAGGGCCATGGACCACTGCCTAACCTCCGAAGAGGATGGACTGGGATACTGGCAGGGCGCCCACACCTGTCAGGAGAACGACTCGGGTCCTCAGCCAAAGCCTTTGATTAAATGTACACCCGAGTAGCAGCGGGTCTCGCACATGGTCAGTTCACTGACTCATGCAGATTGGTGTACTGGATCTTAGCAGGGAGAAGCGGGTAACCCTGCTCCCACCTAGCGGTCGCCATGAAAAAGCGCCCAGGACATGAGCCAATGGTACAACACTAGCAGCAGTGGGTAAACCATCTGTCAGGATCTAACCACCACCAGCCTCAGCGCACCATAGGCTCTCCCAGCCATGTGTTATCCTGATCACTCAGCTATCCCCCGTCATACGATCTGTTCCGAGCAGCGACGGACTATTTCTGCTGGGTGATTTCAACGCGCGCGTTGGACGTCATGCATCAGTGTGGACAGATGTTATCGGTCCGTATGGCATTGGTTCAGCGAATGCGAACGGTTTTAGGCTGCTCTCACTGTGTGCCACTCAGGGTTTGATGTTCACGAACACTTGGTTTGCACTGAGTGCGAGTGATATAGCGACCAGGTGACAGCTGCTGCCGAGGAGACAATCGGGCGCGCAAACTGTAAGCGGCCTGATTGGTTTGATGAAAACAATGCGACGATTGGCGCATGAGTGTCGAAGAAGAATGCAACATTTGCTGCACATGTGGCAGGCCCCAGTGACTTGTGGAAGAATAGTCAGTTTCGGAAACTTCGACGGTGTCTGACCCGAGAGCTCCATCGCATTAAAAATGCATGGTGGACGGAGAAGGTGAAGCAGATGGAATGCTACGCCGAACGCCGCCAACACAGGGAATTTTTGACTCCTTGAAGACGGTGTATGTACCTAGATTGGAGCAGCTGTGAACGCTGATCGATAGTAGTTTAAGCGCTGCCTGCTCACGGACTGCAAACATAACGCAGATCTGGCGGAAACACTTCCACTGTCTATTGAACAACCGTTCAGAGATCGACTGGCCTACTTTGAATGGCCTCAAGCAGCATGATGTGAAGAAGAGTCTGGCGGATACGCCGACACTGGATGAAAAGCAGACAGCACTGGCTCAGCTGCGAAACCGCAAGTGTGCTGGGGCCGACGGGATCCTGTCTGAAGTATTGAAACACGGCGGACCCGCGTTGTTGACTGCGCTGCACCACTTGGGGCAACGCGTATGGATTGAGGAGGAGGTGCCTCCTGAGCTGAAGGATACCCTTGTGCTACCACTATACAAGGGCAAAATGAACAAGCAATGTTACACGAATTATCGTGGCATCAAGTTGCTGAGTTGTGTGGGCAAGGTGATGGCCCCAATCCTGCTCAACCGCCTCGTCAGTCAGGTTGTGGAACCTAACGTGGCGGAAGAGCAGTGTAGATTCCGTTCGGGTCACAGCACTATAGATATGGTGTTTGAGGCTCGCCAGTTGCAGGAGAAGTGCAGAGAACGACACCAACCTTTGTACTCGCCTTTTGTCGATTTCTCCAAGGCATTTGATACGATGAACCGCGAGGCATTGTGGCTGGTGTTGAGTAAGTTAAATTGAATGTCTGCACAGTGGTATGCGGGCGAGGATGCAGTTGAGTGGAGAGACCTCGGATGACTGCAGTTGTCTCTGGTTTGAAGCAAGGCTGTGTCTTAGCTCCTGTCCTGTTTAATATATATCTTCATGCACTGATGTCTTTTGTTTTGGATGCCTCTTGTGCTTACGGTGTTCGTTTGGAGCACCGTATTGATGGTGGGTTGCCGAACATCCGACGTTTCGGTGTGAGAACTCTAGTCTGTGAGACGACTATCCGTATGTTGCTGTTTGCTGACAACTATGTGTTGTTTGCACACAGTGCGGATGAGTTACAGCACATGACTTGTGCTCTGGCTTCTACAGCGGCCAAATTCGGGCTCACCATCAACACAAGCAAAACTGTCTGTCTCTTTCAGCCTTCACTGGAGGTGCAACCTTCAATAATGCCACGAATTAGCATTGGTGCTGAAGTATTGGAAACCATTTCCACTGATCAGCAGCTACATAGTGAACTGCGTGTCGAAGGCAGCGGCGGCATCAGGGATACGTGAGTTCGGAGTGTGGAACAACCACCAGCTTACCATTGGCACGAAGCTGATGGTGTACAAATCCGTGGTGCTGTCCGTTCTTCTCTACGGACTTCGGCAGACCACATGGAATGGCGGTTGAGGTCTAGCTGAGGTAGGGTGCAGTCGTATGGGGTGCTGATCACTCTCCAAATCCTCAGGTCGTCCTCAAACAGGGTCACGTCGACCAAAGTAGCTAAGGTAGATCGTTGGTGTGGATTAGGATCAGATTGGGCCGCAGCGCTGTGCGTTGAGTTGCTCCACTAGTAGAGGGATACCGGTTGCTTAGATGACTGTCCAATTTTACCGTCCACTTTTTCCCAGTGCGAAAGTCCTGGATCCACTGGTGCAATACTCCACCAACATCACACACTCTCAGCCTGCGGATGAGGACTTCATAGTTTATCTTGTCGAACGCTTTGCTAAGGTTCAATGTAGATTACGTTGACAGACTTTCTCTGGCTCACTGCATGCAACCAATCATTGTTTCGTCACCAACAAGTTAGTAATGCATGAATGGCCTAGTATAAAACCGTGCTGTGCGGACGTCAGTAGATCGTTTGATTGGAACAGCTGTAGTAGACCCTTTTTCACCATCGCAACATCCATCTCCACTGGATCAGTTATCATTACCTGAGCACCAAAGGAGAGTTGTCTCGGTTACTACGGCGTTGCTTCTTTTCGTTTCTGCTCCGCTCCCTCAAGGAGAAATATGCTGCATCCGCGGTTATTTAAGAGACTACTAAGCGTAGCTATTCTCTTTGTCTTCCTGTCAGTTCATGTATCCGTTCTGCCTGGAACACATCAGATACCATGCCACGTTGATTGATGTGGCGTGGGCTAATAGTGAGAACTCGCGGGTTCTTTGTCCGGCTAACCCAGAAAATACGAATGTTGCATGAAATTCTCTGCCTGTTGCTTTAAATTATTTCACTTAACTTTACAGTACCATCTACTCGCCTTTTATTAGAGCACAGTTTCGATCGGTTTCAATACTGCTCGGCATTTTTTTCTTTGTCTCAGGTTCTCGCAGATAAAAGCAATTTTCCATTAACCATCAAATTTGGGAGACCACGCCAACGTCCCAACGATCGAATTCAACTTGCAAGCATGTTTCAACCGCTGCACCAAATGGCCCGTCATCTCAGTCCAGTCCCAGACCCGGCGAAGGATTCTAATGAAAAGCGCGTTGGTGGCGTTTTCAATTCCGGTATCCAAACTTTAGACACTCCCACTTGTCGTATGCACTGTCTGGAGCCGCGAACTGGTGTCAAATTCCTTATGGTAACTGACTCCAAACTACCATCGGCTGCGCGTGAATCGCTCAATCGTGTTTATGAGGCATACACTGATTTTGTTCTCAAAAATCCGTTTTACGCGCACAATCAGCCATTTAACTTCGAATTGTTCACTCAACAAGTAAAAACGATTTGCGAACAAGTCGAACGCGGCATTTACGGGGCACCTTAGGAAACCATGTGACTCTACATATAGTGGCTGTGATACTCGATTGTTGTTAATATTTTCTAGTATTTCAGCAACTGGTATTTGTATGGCGTATTGCCGTTATATAAACTGCCATTTAATTCTCCTACCTGTGATACATGCATCCGCATTTGTGATGTACCGCATATAATCCCCCTGGCATGTTCTTGGACTCCGCCTCATTTCAAGTTAACAACTTCTTTCGGTCCAAAGCTTACCTGTGACACTAATTCAGAAACTACTGAATTCATATTTCCTCTAATGTCGGAGTCGGCCGGTGGCCGAGTGGTCTGCGCGCCTGGTTTGCATCCATAAGGACATTGGTTCGAATCCGCGTAGGAGTGGACATCTTCGCGGTATACTCAGCCCGCGCGCGACTGGTGGTCGCGTGGCAGCGTAGCGTCGTTACGGCATACAGCTGGCGATTATTATTACTATCCTAATTTCGGAGCATTTTGTGTGCTAACCAAACTACTTATCCTCAATTCGTTGACGATAAACGAATCCGCGGTCATACGAGGAATGACATTTCAGTACGAGCACAAGTCTACAACCGCACTTATTCATAGTAACTAATAGAGATTCATCGTCTACGTCGAAGGTGACCAACTGCTTGCTGGTATTTACCATCCGTTTTTATCCTGTACCTAACTATAACACCATGCCTCATATCAGGCAAGGTAACAGTATAGATGTGAATTGACGCGTTCCTTTATTTATGTGAGTACTTGCAACCAAGCTGATGTTGTGTACCTCATGCTTCCTCATTTCAGTTGGGCTAAACCGACTTACACTTAAACTAGATATTCTTAACCTAGATAAAAAGTATTCCACTTTATTTGCTTTGCTCGCTTCTGTTATTCTGCAACATATTCCACGTCAATTTTGCGCGTTTATTTGCTACCAATTCTGTGTTGGTTGTTTGATATCCCCGGTGTGGCTGCTCTTGATGTGAATGTTGACAAGGTGCCTACCTGTCTAGCACCCCACCTCTACTACTGCATCCAGGAGACTGGAATCGTTGCTGTGTGGAGTAAAACTGCACGGTCCTCATAGTCATGCTAGACTCAAAGAGTGATTCCATCCAGTCTGGAACGGACTACGGCCAAGTCACCACCTTGTGTACGTGTGGTACGCATGATTCACTACACAGCTAGGCAGGAATGCTTCTGCTATGCATCTTGAGGGAGAGTGGGCCGGCTCCGTTGACGAAACCTATCTCACATCCACATGCCTCCCGTCTTATTCCTTCGGGTTTACACTGGATATGGGGTGTATGGATGCAGCTGTGGGTAATGCAGCGCAAGCCACCTATGGTCCTTTAGTAGGTGCAAGCTTTCTGTGTCTGTCTTATGGAGACGGCAGTGACAGGCACATCCGGAACCGGGTGCCGCCAACTACTTGCAGCCAAGCTATCATCTTAGTCAGGGAGTGACTGTGGATTTCCTCAAACCGTCATTTTTTTCCTGGTGAGCAATTAAAGCGGCTACTCCGCGAAAGCCGTGTGAGGCTACTAAAATGGAGAAATCATAAAATTGGTAACCGTTGGCCGACAATGTTAGAGGACACATGCCACAAGGGGGGAGCAGATCAGCTGCAATCAAACAATATCAGTGAACAGGCGCGCAGTTAGGAGGTGATCTGAGCTAGTTACCGAGAAAAAAGTCAATCTATGAAGTGCGTTAGATCAGGCTCACCCAGCAAGGAAGTGAAATTGGCTGGAAGTAGTACTTAAGGTTCTGTATGATAAGTGAGCTATCGGAAAGGCATTCGGAAAAAGTTTTTAATTTTAATGTAAGATACCCATTACTTTGAATCCCAAATAGAATAACGGGCGGTAAACTTCAGACAAACAATAGTGTCCGTTGCAAAATAGACGTTAAGTTGGAATAGGTTAGATTACTGTACGACAGATCAATTTAGAAACGAAAAGTGCTTTCTCGACATCCGTCAGGTGATCGATTCACGAATGTCATATGAGTGTTGGGATATGATTCCCTATTTTCCTTTGTGATTTGCCAAAGCAATTGTAGTGATTGAACCACCTTTTTTGGATGTATAAGTTTGGATTCATCAATCTTATGCATGTCGCCTCCGCAGTAACAAGCTGACGATTCCTTATTCACTGATTCGGATGTGGTGGTACTTTGTATACGATGTCAACAACGGCTTGTTTGTCGATTTGATGTCCAGTGTGCATCAGCTGATTTGTTATTGAACTGATGCTGATTCTGTTGGCCTGATTGGTTGGGAGATGTTCTTTGATTCTCTGACCTAAGTGTCTGGTCGTGAGTCAAATCTATCTAGACCCACGGGGACAGGTAAACCGATAAATTATCATTGACTGGAGACCATCAAGCAGTTGATATTTGTATCCAAGACCAAATAGAGATTGGTTAGTGTAAACCACATTTAGATCAGCTGCGTCAATAGTCTTTCTGCAGCTTTGTATCAGCCTGCGTTTACAGATCTCCGCTGCGCTGTCGCCTTTGAAAGGAAGAGTGGGAAATAGTTGTTTCTTTTTGATCGTTTGGATCTTTACTTTGGTACTATTGTGCTCCATATGAGTGTCAATGAAGCATTCTCGAGAAGCACTTGTTCGATCTGTCCCATTTCGTTCACAATAGTGCCTTCGCTGCGGATCTTATATGCGCGGTTCGTTGAGATGTGTATTAGCGTTTTTTTGCGGCTGAGTGGGATAGGGCTGTGAAAATTCGTATATTGAGCAGTCCAGTATGGTTATATGCCCACACTTATCTGGACTCATCCATCTTTCTCTTTAGTTTTTCATCTAGAAACCTCATCTGGTTGTTGCTTTGCTCTTCAATTATTGCACTGGGATGTTCTTTGTTAAAATATTCGACGATATACTTCAAATTGATTGTTCGGTCACACATACAAGATATGTCGTCCACATACCGCTGGTGTAATTTCAAAGCTGTAATGACAGCTTTCAATGGGCCACGTACTAGTATACCCAAGTAGATGTCATCCAACTGCCTCTCGATTGCCAGTTGATTGTCTTTCTCTGAATGACAGAATTTTAAACCCCTTATGACAGTGGTTGTATTTGCAGTGTTTAACTGCGCGCCGACAGGTAGTGCATCTATAGTTTAGGATTTGTAGGGAAATTGCTCGGACACTTCTGCATCATACATCATTTCTTCTCTATTCGCTTCGACATTAACATTCCTACATACGTGAGGAGCCTGACACGTTCCTCATCCCTAGTGTATGGTTGGCGGCATCCGGTTTCGGATTTGCCTGTCACTGTGGCCAGCCACAGGACGCCTGCGCCTAAAGAGGGACCATGGATGGCTTGCGCTGCACCACCCACACCTCCATCCACACACCCCATATCCAGTGTAAACCCGAAGGAATAAGACCGGGAGGCATGCGGGTGGGAGCCACGTTTCATCAATAGAGCCGGCCCACACTCCTTCACAAACAAACACAAGCACGTTGTATTTGGGTATCAAGTGCACACAAAGCGGTGGCTGGACCGTAGTACGCTCCACACTGAGTGCATGAAACCACTCTTCGAGCCTAGCACGGCCACAAGGACCGTGCACCCCGTCCCCTCCAGCAACGACCAACTGCCTCCTGGAGCCAGATGAATGAGATAGTGGGTAATAGACAGGTAGGCACCTTGTCAACATGCACATCAAGCGCAGCCACACGGAGGATATCAAGCAACAGCCAATCACTCGAAACGACAAGCTGTAAGAAAATAAATCAGATAATGCTTCAGATACGGAGATATAAATCTTAACTAAATGGACGTATTAGACAATGATTCCGAACGAATCCGCGACAACTACAAGATGTCAGAAAATATATTTTAAGGAAATGCCACGAACACTCAAATGTTATCGAAATTAACTACAATCGGCTTAAGCGATGTGTGCAAGTTGATAGAAGAGAGAATAGGTAGACATTTATATGAGAAAGAAAAGCATTAGGACAAAATTGCAAACCCACCACCTGAAATGAATAAACTTAGCGTGCAAGCACACGGTTAGTAGATCGAATGCAGTGTACCTACAAACGCTGCGCCGGTTCTGCCTACCTGCTCTGCAGGACCCGTCGTCGCTTCGGTAGTGGTCCCGAGTGGCCTCGCTCATGACTCCCTAGGCTTGCCTGACTCAGGCAATCGCGACTGCATGCGCTCGACGTCGACGGAGTACAACCCGTCGGTCGCTTCCGCAATTACGGTTTTTCTCTGCATGCATGAGGCCTTCCTCTCCGCACTTCGACAACTGCCTTCGTGATCAGATCGCGCCATGCACACCGCTCAACCGCCTTTAATTCCCATGACCTGCAATCAAGATTAGATCGTGAGATGTTCACTTTGATCATGTCCTGATAACGTAACATTGGTTTCTCCACATGCCGCTTCCCAATACTCAGCTGACCATATAATAGTTGTTTTCGTATCGGCGTCGAATCCATACGGTTCACATGACCGAGCCATCTCAGGTGTCTCAGTAAAAGTATGCAGACCACTGCATACATTCCACTTAGGCGCAACACTTCCGTGTTAGCAACTCTGTCGCCCCATCCGATGCTCAGAATCCGTCGCAAGCACTGCTGATGGGACCGCTCGAGATATCGCACATCCCGCCGGTACACCGTCCACGTTTCACTACCTTATAGAAGAACGGACAGCACCATGGATCTGTACACCACCAGCTTCGTGCCAATGGTAAGCTGGTGGTTGCTCCACACTCGGTACTCTAGCTTCCCGAATGCCGCCGCTGCCTTCGACATGCGGATACGCACCCCACTGTGTAGCTGCTTGTCAGTGGACATCACACTTCCAAGGTGGCAGAAGCGCGAAGTGGTTTCCAATACTTCAGCACCAATGCTGATTCGCGGCAAAATTGAAGGTTGCACCTCCAGTGAAGGCTGAAAGAGACAGACAGTTTTGCTTGTGTTGATGGTGAGCCGGAATTTGGCCGCTGTAGAAGCCAATGCGTTAGTCA